GGTAGATAGGCAGCCTAAGTCTAGAGCAGGGCATGTGCTGGGCAGTTGAAAGTGACATCTATTTTGATATTGGGGGTGGGGAGGGTTCCTAACATCCAGGGCAGTGTAAGTAACTTCCCTAAACTTAGTGGCTTCAAGAAAACAAAACAAAACAAACAAACAAAAAAACCATTTATTATGACTCGTGAGTTCAGTGGGCTCCAAATTTGGGCAGGGTGTGGCTGACTCGTTGTTCTCTGAGGCATCTCCTAAGTCATTTGGAGAACCTAGGCCTAAAGCATCCAGATGGTTTTGCTCCCATCTGCAACTTGGGTGACTGGAGGGTTAAACTCAGCCTATACTCTGGGTTCAAGCAGTAGTGTGTGGCCTTCCCAGGTGTGTGGGGATGGTGGGGCAGCCTCAGAGCCACTGGCCTTTCCTCCTAAGGACTGACTTCCTGTGGAGTGAATGTCTCAAGAGAAACCAACGGAAGAGGTCTGGTCTTTAACAAATCCACATAAGCCACATGACACCACATTGACCACATCCTTGGATGAGTGCTTCCAGTCTCCCTAGGCAACAAGAGCACCAGGGTCTCCTTGTAGGTAAGTAAGCAAGGAGATATAAAATACCATTGTCGCCACCTTTGAAAATGATACTCTCACACAGATCCTACATCCAGGCATTTTACTACTTTACAGTTATGCTTGTATCTCCCCCAGTATGCTTCTCCATAAAGAAAGACATGGCCGCACTTTATGTAACTGAACACATGAGTACACAGAGACCCAGGGACGTGGACAAAAATACACATACATTCTGTGACTGAATCACGGCTGCCGAGGAGGAGGAGGAGGCAGACCTGCCTGCTTCATGCGAAGTCTGAAGTGTTTGTGCAGAAAAGCTCTGGAAGGATGCTCGCCGCTGTATATATAGAGTAGGTTTTGCCCTTTACAATAAGATGATGCATTTCATTTTGCTTCCCCTGTTGCCATGGTATCTGTCACTTTATTTATAACTGTGTCTCTTCAGTCGTATCCATGTACTTGAGAGGCTCTTCTGTTCAAAGTAATAACATGCGAGGGTGGGGGTTGGGTGTGCAGCGGGCAGAGATCCGGGTGTTTGTACTCTTTCTCTGCCCTCCCCGAGCTGTCTTACCAGCTCCCCAACTCCCTGCCTACAAAGGGGTCTTTCATGCATGCTGTACCCTTTACCTGAGGCCCTCACTAGGCTCTCTGTGACCTCAAGAATTGTGTGACTCTGGTCAAGCTGCTCAGCCTGTTTGGTATCACTTTCCCTCCCTGGTACGTTTATAAAACAAGAAGGCTAAAGAGGAACTCACTAATATCCCTCCCCAATCTACTATGCTCTAAGTGCTATCACATGGCTGGCTTCCTCTTAAATGTCACCTCCTTCTGAGGCTTTGTTTATTTCCCCACTTCCCGTAGATCTTCCTGGCGCCGTGGTCATAGCTCACAGCCTTAGATCTAATCCCTTTGTTATCTTTTGTATGCTGGCTCCCTATTTGGAATCTCATTCTTAACAGCCACCCCAACCTGCCCCAGCTTAAACCGCCTACTGTCTCTGATGGTGAGCTGCCCTCAGGGAGAGCCCCAAATATTGAGGGTTGGTCTTTGCCAGGCACAACCTTTAATCAAACATGAATGCTGGGGACAAGTGAATGCTGCAGCTCCCTTGTCCGTGACATTCAAAGTTCTGGGGCTTCCCTGTGGGTGGGGCCTCTATAGTCTCTTTGGGATTTGCCCTGAAGCTGCTCCTTATCCTTAACCATTTTCTTCTTGCCTGTGTCACTTTGTCTCACTTCCCTGTTCAAGGGGTTTCTCTCAAGAGACTTCCTAATGCACCACTCGTTCCCTGTCCTGGCTGGGTCCTATGAAAGCCACCCTGAATCACCTTTTAAATGAGGTGATTCAATGAGCTATCATCAACCTAGCCTTCAACTTTCTCGTCCTCAACTGAAAAGAAACTTGATGTTCTTACCTGCCAGTGTGGACTGGAGGATTAAATGAGGCAACACTAGTCCAGTCATTCTGGAGTCATCTTTTCCTCTGATTACCACTTACTTTGGGGGAGGGTCTTCTCTCAGTTAATTCTTCATAGAAATGTCCTCTGAGAACTTCCAGCAAATTGACGATCAAGATTACCCATAAAGCCAGGTGTTGGTGGCACACGCCTTTAATCCCAGCACTTGGGAAGCA